CTCTCACACCAGAAGCGACTTGCAGTTTCTCAAGTCACTTCTGATACACAAAAAAATCTGCATGGTTTGGATCCAGGTTACCCACAGTATCACCTTATCCCATACAATCTGTCCCAAACACTCTGAAGGGCATTGACTCCATCCTGCCAGAACCCTTCTGGTGACTATCACTCAAGAGGACCTTTTCATCGGACGCCCCAAGACTGTGGAATGACCTGCTGGAAGATATTTGACAGGTAGAGCAGCTGTCAGAGTTTAAGACACAATTGAAAACCCATTTCTTCCAGCAGGCCTATCCAGTCAATTTGAAGTTGTGAGTTTTAATCTGGATTTTAACTTGCAGTTTAACTCTTATGTGTCTTGTTTTATATCTTTTAATGTCTTTTAATAGTGTTTTATGTCTTATTTTAATGTTGTTGTATCCTGTCTCAAGCCATAGGGAGAGGTGGCTAATAGTAGTAATAGTAGTAACAGCAGCAGCAGTAACGCTTGGACAGGCCTTTCTCTTTTCTGGGAAAAACTGACAATAATTTGGGCAGAAATCACGTACCTCAAAGCTGCTAGTCAGGAGCTAAATTACAATGATGGAAGAGAAGTCAAAAGCTTAGGAGATTTATCTTAGGTTGCGGTTCGGTTTTGAAATACCACGAAAATCTGGCAACAATTGGGGATACCTACGTGTCTACAAGAACAGAGAAAACTTCTGAATTATCTGGGGTGTTCTAACTTAACTGAATACAAATTTTGCTTATATAATTTATATAGGATTCACTTTTAAGAGTATCTTTCAGTTGAGGAAAATAACTCAAAATATGAATTTTTGTGACTCAAGTCTTATGCAAGACTGTATGAGATGAGATCATATTACTTAATAATTTATTTAATTAATAAATATTGGTCTTCGGACCATAATAAAAATGTTGTTTGTTAATAAATATTAAATAAAAATCTTTTTATATTCTGAAACAAAAATCCTCAGCTGAACATCTGTAAACATAATTTAGAAATCCAAAAGAAGTGGGGGCAAAGTAAACATGCCCGGCAACACAATACATCTAAACGTTGAATTTATTTTCCGTACTTTGATCATATCATAAGAAGACACGTCTCACTAGAAAAGACAGTAATGCTGGATAATTTATTTTATTTATTTAAAACATTTATATTCTGCCCTTCCCACAATCAGGGCAGAGCACAACATATATACAGCAAACATTCAATGCTGGGACATAAAACCATAAATATATACAAACATTAAAATCACTTATATTGACATTAAAAGTTGCTTAAAAACCATCTCAGGACACCATAAGGATAACACAGAAGACAGTATGAAAAGAGGAAGGCTACAACTATACATATAATAAAAGTCAAAGTTTGTATGCGACGTAGGACAGAGGTAGGTAGGATGTAGGTGGACGTGTTTGTGGCAGCTTTCTGATTGGCTGCCACTGTGGTGCTATTTGCATATGGTCTCTGATTGGCCAACCTCAACAGGACCCCCTGATGGCAAAGACAGTTAATGAGAGAAACGGAGACATGACAGAGGGAAATTTGCATATGGTCTCTGGCCAGCCTCAATTCCAAGATTCCGAGAGGACAAAGAGATGAAAGGAAAAGGCCAGATGCTGTGTCAGAAAATACCAATAAAGACCAAACTTGGCACACAGAACCCCCATGACCCACTCTACATCCTGTTGCAGTTTGGAGGAGGGTGGACTATAGATGATGGGACTTCAAGTACCTTCACTCACTTCCTGAAAACAATGCAACCATCATCCAATGACCAATAAAGACCAAACTTGGCATACAGAACCGCCATTACCCACTTTCTCTAATAACCCGGGCAGCACCGGGTCCCCAAGCTAGTTACAAATAAAGAGACCCAATCTGAGAAGCAACAGCCTTGAGTTTGCAAGATCAAAGCAGGACTGTCGATGATGGGTGACTTGAAGGTCTTTCATTCATGGGATCTCCATAAATTGAAGTTGACATGATTGGCAGTTAAACACAACAACATACTGCTACGTACACAGTACATTTTTGCTATTTCACATGTTACGGATTCATTATGCAGATACATTTGAGGTTTCAATTTTTTTCCTGTGGTTTTCTATTTATAGGGCTTCTCAATCCAAGCATTGCTTCTCTCACAGAATCATAGAGTTAGAAGACATTACATGGGCCATCCAGTCCAATCGCCTGCCATGCAAGAAAACACAAAGCACCTCCAACACATTCAGCCTCTGTATAAAAGCCTCCAAAGGAGTAGTTTGTGTAAACATACTGGTGGGTTGCCAGGCAAAGCATTTCTTATACTACTGGCATTTGGATGATTTATCTCCTATGTGAGTTTCCTGATGCCTGGAAAGCTGTGAGTTATAAGCAAAATTCTTTCCACACTCTTGGCATTTGTATGGTCTCTCTCCTGTATGAATTCTCTCATGGCTCAAAAGGGCTGAACTGAAGTAAAAGCATTTTTCACACTTGGGGCATTTGAAAGGTTTTTCTCCTGTATGGACCCTCTGGTGCTTCACAAGGTCAGACCTATAAGCAAAACATTTCACACACTCCTGGCACTTGTATAGCTTCTCCCCTGTGTGGACTCTCTGGTGGGTGACCAGCTCTGAATTGCAGGGAAAGCATTTCTCACATTGCTGGCATTTGTAGGGTTTCTCTCCTGTGTGGACTTTCTGGTGTCTGGCAAGTATTGAATTTTGAGCAAAACACCTTCCACAGTCTTGGCATTTGTATGGTTTTTCTCCTGTGTGGACTCTCTGGTGGGTGACAAGTTGGGAACTGCCAGGAAAGCTCTTCCCACACTCCTGGCATTTGTAGGGTTTCTCTCCCGTGTGGATCCGCTGGTGCTTCACAAGGTGTGAATTCTGACCAAAACATTTCCCACACTCTTGGCATTTGTAAGGTTTCTCTCCTGTGTGGACTCTCTCGTGGCTCATAAGGGCTGAAATAAAAGCAACACACTTCCCACATTTCTGGCATTTATAGGGTTTCTCTCCTGTGTGGACTCTCTGGTGTTTCACAAGATCCGACTTGTAAGCAAAGCATTTCTCACACTCCTGGCAGGTATATGGTTTCTCTCCTGTGTGAACTCTCTGGTGAATCGCAAGGTTTGAAATACGAGCAAAACACTTTCCACACTCTTGGCATTTGTGGGGTTTCTCCCCTGTATGGACCGTCTGATGCATCACAAGGTGCGAGCCATGCGCAAAGCATTTCCCACACTCCTGACATCTGTAGGGTTTCTCTCCTGTGTGAACTCTTCTGTGGATCACGAGGCTTGAGATCCGAGCAAAACGTTTCCCACACTCTTGGCACTTATGTGGCTTCTCTCCTGTGTGGATGGTCTGATGCATCACAAGTTGTGAATTGCGGGTAAAACATTTCCCACACTCCTGGCACTTGTGGGGTTTTTGTCCTATGTGGACTTTCTGGTGGCTCCCAAGGTGTGAGTTGTGAGAAAAGCATTTTCCACATTCTTGGCATTTGTATGGTTTCTCTCCTATGTGGACCTGCTGGTGGTACGTAAGCATCATCTTTTGAGCAAATTGTTTCCCACAAATGGCACATGTGTAGAGTTTGTCTCTGGCAGAACTTTCCTCTCTTGAATGGCTTTGCTCTTGTCTGAGAAGATCTGGTATCACACTTATCTTTGTTTTGGTCCACGTATCTGCTGGAAAGAAGCATAGAACATATTGAATCCTAAGGCTGAGCAGGAAAAAAGACTTAGGGAGTAGAAAAGTATTTAAACAAACTATAAAGATCTTGAAAGAAACCTTTTTAAACAGATATGCAAGAGAGAGTGTTTTTCCACTTTTATAGACATTTGGGGAATTTATGCTCTAAGTGAAGCCAGACATGTTTTTGCGCTTATATTTTGTATTATGACACATTTTCCAGAAGATCTTGCTGATACAGAGGATAAAAAATTGACTATAAAGACATTATAAGACAAAATACTTGCTCTTTTTTGAAAGTAAGGCCAACTTGGCCACCAACCAGTAAACACTGATATGTAAATGCACTGTTTTTACACTGCCATATATTTCAGTTTCTCAGTCCAGATTATCTGATTTGAACTGGACTATATCGATCTCCTAAGGTAAATTGGTGTAACCAGGTGAGCGGACCCTCCGGACTGAAGGTGGTGCTGTTGAACGCCAGATCTGTCAACGGAAAAACGACCTGGATCCAGGACTTAATCCTGGACGAACGGGCAGATCTGGCGTGCATCACGGAGACCTGGTTGGATGAAGCTGGAGGAGTAAATCTGACCCAGCTTTGTCCTCCGGGTTTCTCCGTGCAGCACCAACCTAGATCCGGAGGGCGGGGAGGCGGGGTTGCAGTGGTCTATAGGGATTCCATCCATCTGACCAGGTGCCCCATCCCGCAGACCGCAAACTTCGAAAGCGTCTACCTGAGGGTGGGTGACCGGGACAGTATAGGGATTCTAGTAGTGTACCGTCCACCTCGCTGCACTACAGTCTCCCTACCTGAGCTAGCGGGGGTGGTCTCGAGCCTGGCGTTGAAGTCTCAACGGCTTCTTGTGCTGGGAGACTTCAACGTCCATGCCGAGACGACCCTCACAGGCGCGGCTCAGGACTTCATGTCTGCCATGGCAACCATGGGGCTGTCCCAACAAATATCTGGCCCCACCCACTGTTCTGGACACACATTGGATTTGGTTTTCTGCCAGGGATGGGAGAATGGTGGCGGTGTGGAGGAGCTTTCTATTGCCCCGTTGCCATGGACTGACCATCATCTGATCAGGTTTAGGCTTTCTGCACCTCCCAACCGAATGGTTTCCTGACGGCTCTTGGGGATTTTCCCGCCACCTCGGTAGGTGACCATGTCGAAGCCTTGGTGGCTCTCTGGAATGGGGAGATGACCAGGGCTATTGACATGATTGCTCCGGAACGTCCCCTCTCAAGTAGCCGAGCTAAACCAGCCCCTTGGTTTACTGAGGAGCTGGCAGCTATGAAGCGAAGGAAGAGGGAACTAGAGAGCGTGTGGCGTTCGGAACCGAGCGAGTCAAACCGAGCACGGTTTGTGTCCTTTCTGAGGGCATATGCCGCGGCAATAAAGACCGCAAAGAAAACTTTCTTTGCGGCCACTATTGCGTCTGCAAAGAACCGTCCGGCGGAGTTGTTTCGGATTGTCAGAGGTCTTTTAACTCCCGCCTCTGCAGGTGGGAGCCCTGACAATTCGGTCACGCGCTGTGAAGCATTTGCTCGGTTCTTCGCAGACAAAGTCGCCTTGATCCGTTCTGGGCTGGATGCCGTGTTTATTTTTCCCCTTTTTCTTTTCTTTCTTTGCTCGGTTCTTCGCAGACAAAGTCGCCTTGATCCGTTCTGGGCTGGACGCCGCGTTAGATGCAGACTCTGTGGATGTAACGAGAGCACCTGCTTGTCCTATTTTGTTGGATTCTTTTCAGTTTGTGAAACCCGAGGATGTGGACAAGATACTTGGAGGAATGAGGCCCACCACGTCCATCCTAGACCCCTGCCCATCCTGGCTTCTAAGAGAGGCCAGAGGGGGATTGGCCGAGTGGGTAACAGTGGTGGTGAATGCCTCCCTTCGGGAAGGCAAGATTCCAGCGAGCCTAAAACAGGCTATTATAAAGCCGCTGTTGAAGAAGCCATCACTGGACCCCACTAAATTGGACAACTTTCGGCCTGTTTCCAATCTCCCCTTTTTGGGCAAAGTCATGGAAAGCGTGGTGGCCTCACAACTCCAGGTATTCTTGAGAGACACGGATATCTGGATCCGGCACAGTCTGGCTTTAGGCCGGGACATGGTACCTGAGACAGCCTTGGTCGCCTTAGTGGATGATCTGCGCCGGGAGCTCGACAGGGGGAGTGTGTCCCTGTTGGTGCTCTTGGACCTCTCAGCGGCCTTCGATACCGTCGACCACGGTATCCTTCTGGGGCGCCTTGCGGAGATGGGCCTTGGGGGCACTGCGCTGCAGTGGCTCCAGTCATTTCTGGAGGGACGCACCCAGAAGGTGTCATTGGGGGACTCCTGTTCGGCACCACAGCCTTTGACCTGTGGGGTCCCACAGGGCTCTATATTGTCTCCCATGCTATTTAACATCTACATGAAGCCGCTGGGTGAGATCATCCGGAGTTTCGGGGTGCGGTGTCATCTGTACGCAGACGACGTCCAACTCTGTCACTCCTTTCCACCTGCTACTAAGGAGGCTGTCGAGGTCCTGAACCGGTGCCTGGCTGCTGTGACGGTCTGGATGAGGGCGAACAAACTGAAATTAAATCCAGACAAGACAGAGGTTACTCCTGGTCAGTCGGAAGGCAAAACAGGATATAGGGTTACAACCAATGTTGGGTGGGCAATCCCCTTGAAGGCGCAGGTTCGCAGCTTGGGTGTGACCCTGGATTCATCGTTGAGCCTGGATCCCCAGGTTTCAGCGGTGACCAGGGGAGCATTTGCACAGCTCAGGCTCGTGCGCCAGCTGCGCCCGTATCTCGGGAAGTCTGACTTGGCCACGGTGGTACACGCTCTTGTCACATCCCGCCTGGACTACTGCAACGCTCTCTACGTGGGGCTGCCCTTGAAGACGGCCCGGAAGCTTCAGCTGGTTCAGCGTGCGGCAGCCATGTTACTAACTGGAGCGGGTGGCAGGGAGCACACAACGCCCTTGTTGTCCCAGCTCCACTGGCTGCCGATTTGCTACCGGACCCAATTCAAGGTGCTGGTTTTGGCCTTCAAAGCCCTAAACGGTTCCGGCCCAAAATACCTTGCTGACCGCATCTCGGCCTACGAGCCCACGAGGACCTTGAGATCGTCAGGGGAGGCCCTTCTCTCGATCCCGCCCGCCTCACAGGCACGGCTGGCGGGGACGAGGGAGAGGGCCTTCTCGGTGGTGGCCCCCCGGCTATGGAACACTCTCCCGGCACACATCAGACAGGCGCCCTCCCTCATGTCCTTTCGAAAAAGCCTTAAGACCTGGCTGTTCGAGAGGGCATTTAATTAAGTGCAGCAACAACATTACGGTAATGAGAACTGGAATGGTATAAGGATGATGAGACTGGCCTATGATTCTACTAAGAGACGAAGCGGATTTTTATGTAGTTTTGTATTTGTGTATAGTTATGTGTTGTGGATACTGGCTTTTGTAACTGTCTTTTTTATGTGTACTGTACACCGCCATGAGTCGCCCGTAAGGGCTGAGAATGGCGGTTAATAAGTGCATCAAATAAATAAATAAATAAATAAATAAAATAATCTGGATTCAAAAACAGGATTATATGGCAGTGTATGCTCTGGAATCTGAGAAAGCTAAGAATTGTGGGGAGTGGGGTGCAACTGCATTTTTCCCGTATCATAAATAGTTTACATTTATTCCAGTCAAATTAAAAGAAAAAAAATCAGGATGACAAAGACCAAGTAGACACATAAGCACCGATGGCAGTTCAATGCTAACACAGTTGAACACACTGGTCAAACATCTCTTATCTACAATTTGAAATTTGAAATATAGTACTCCAAAATTAAAATTGGCCACATAGCTTTTGCTTTCTGCTGGTTCAAAGTATACCTACTTTATTTCATGCACAAACGTATTAATAAATAATGTGTACAATATGACCTACAAGCTATATGTATAGGACCACGTTGTGGCGCAGCTAGTTGGGAGTCAGCTGCATTAAAATCACTACTAACTGAAAGGTCATGAGTTCGAAGACAGTTCAAAAGACAGTTGCATCTGTCAAGTAGGAAATTTAGGTACCTCTTATGCCAGGAGCCTAATTTAACTAATTTACAACACCATAAAAACTCTCCAGAAGTATGCAAGAATGAGGAAGTACTCCATCGGCGTCACAAGTGGACGGTGAAGCAACAGCTCCTTTGGTGGCCAAAATTCAAAAAGCATACCCTCATCAAGCTGAAAAGTTAAATAGCCTCTGTGTGTCTATCTGTATATGTTGTGGGTCTATGGCATTGAATGTTTGCCATGTATATGTTGTCAGGATAATTGCAAATATGATATGTATGTTTTTAAATGTGTTAATAATGTATTTCAAGATGGTTTCAGTCATGTTCATTTTTGTTCATTTGTGTAGTAGATTATTATTGTTATAGGCAGAGAGTAGAGTCCCTGAGATTGAGATAACAAGAGTTTCTTTTGCCCTGAGAAGAAAAGGGAGTTAACTGGCTAGGAGACAGATAAGACAGGAGGGCAGATTTTCTTTGTCTGTGTGTTTAGAGCTGTACTTTTGTCTGTCACCATTTTCAGCCATCAAGATGTAGTCGCTTATATAAATGCTTTCAGTAAAGTTTGTTGTTATTTGAAACTTAAGAAGTCTGCAGTGTGATAATTGATCTAGAAAGTACTCTGTGCATGACCCAGGTGTCTCACTCTGACATATGTGCATTGTGATCCACCCAGAGTCCCTTGCGGGGTGAGAAGGGCCGAATATAAATACTGTAAATAAATAAATATGTATAAGCTGTTTATAACATATCAGTGCATTTTCTGTTTATGCTTGGGTCCCATCTTCAAGATATTCCATTATGAACAAATGGGCATTCCAAAATGGGGGGGGGGGGGATCCAAAACCCTTCTGGTTACAAGCATTTTGGCAAAAGAATACTCATTACTCAACCTTTATAGAGATTGAAAGAAAGCTGTTTAAAGGCCAAGGAGACAATTCCGAAACGGCCCTTGATAAAATATCTCCCACCCTCAAGGTCAAAGGTTCTGAGTGGAGAGAAAGATCCTATGCCTGAAATGCCAAAGACAAGCTGTCATGGAAAATGCATGCATAATCCAACTCTGTAAACAGTATGGCCAGCCCTGATAGTCAGGCTCCAGTGATGCAAGGTGCTTCATTACCTGGCTGGCTGCTAGCAATGCTTCCACTGTCTTCAGATCCCTGGCTGCATGGCTCCCCTTCCTCCTCCTCCTCCTCCTCCTTTACTACAATCTCTAAGGGGAGAGAAAGAGGCAAGAGCAGTAATCACGATTGCTTGCAAAGACAAAGGGGTTCTGTCACAGTGAGAATTACAGCTGAAAGAAGCAATACCACCTGTAACACTAATATGAACAATCAAAATGGCTAAAAGGGGGAGTTAGATATTTTCCCCCCTCCAGAATGATCATGTTTTCTGTGGATGGAAGTGAGGCAATTACCTAAATTGTTTTTAACCAAGTGATGGGACCAGGAAGCAGAAGCAATATTACCTTCTTTTTTCAAGTTAATAATAATAATAAAACTTTATTTGTACCCCGCTACCATCTCCCCAAGGGACTCGGTGCAGCTTACATGAGGCCGAGCCCACAATACAACAATAAAAACAATAGCAACAGTAATACAAACAACAAATAAAACTCATAAACAGAAAATAAGCAATAAACATTAACAATAACACAGCGACGTTTAAAAACTTATGGCTGGGCCAAATGTAATAATTAAAAATTTAAAAATAATGCTGGCCATGACCAGGTGACATATAACTAGGATAGAAATTTTGAAGAGGGATGGAGGGTGCAGACAATCCTAGATCACTAATAAAGTGCATTTAGGGACATATTGCTAGGAGTTTCCTTATTCTGGGAAGGCACACTGGAACAACCACGTTTTCAGGCTCCTCCTAAAGACTGCCAGAGTTGGGGCATGCCTGATGTCCTTGGGGAGTGAGTTCCAGAGTCGAGGGGCCACAACCGAGAAGGCCCTGTCCCTCGTCCCCAACAATCGCGCTTGTGATGAAGGCGGGAGTGCGAGCAGGACCTCTCCAGATGATCGAAGGTTGGTACTCCATAAGCAGTTGGTTTAAGATCAATTGAAAGAAAGCGTCTTCCATCGGCCTTTCCGCATCCCTCCTAATTCATCTGGGTTTTGACATGACTTTCAAATCAATCTAACAGAGACTGTGGGACACTGCCTTTTGTGAGCTGCACTCTCGCTCTTATATATCTTGCTCTCCTAATGCCCTGCCCTTACATTATTTTGGGCCTTTTCATGCAGCAATCTAAAGAACTTGACTGTGGCCAAATACCGCTGCCTATTTTCCAAAGCAAGGTGCAATGTGCTCCCATCGGAAATGCTGCATGGGAGATTTGCAGGTACCTCATATAATGATAGACTCTGCCCATGTAACAAACAGGAAGTAGAATGCATCTATCACATTCTACTGTCATGCAGTTTCTATGAACAGGCCCAAGCACACATAATTAACCCTCTACTAAGGAATTTACCAGCAAGTCCAGTGAAATTTTATGTGAAGTTTCTACTTAGTGACAACCTTCCCCACGTGACCTTGGCAGTTGCTAAGTTTCTTTCTGAGGCAGAAAATTCCCAATTTTAGACACAGATTGAAACACACCGGCACTTTTTGTAGTCTTTTACCTATGTATTTAGCCAACATGGATTTTAAGCAATTTTTAACTTTGTAAATTTTATCCATTTGTGTGTCCAATCAACAGAATGTTCTTAATCTCATTACCTGCATACCTGTATGCCTACAGTGTAATACAGTGTAATAAGGGTCTTTGGACCATAATAAAATATAGGTTGATACTCTCATTGACCATTCTGACTGAGGATGGTAGGATTTCTAGTTCAAAATCAGTGTAGTGAAGGCTTTTCTCTCATCCCTTATTATTGAAGCAAAACTAGTGCAACTGAATTAGTCACATACCCTTTTTCTAATGGCATCCTGTTTGTTTTTTGCTAGGTTGTCTGGAAGAATATGATGTGGGGGGGGGGGGGCCTCTTACCAGAGGCGGCCCTAGGTAATTTTCAACGGTAAGCAAACAGTATTTTGGCGCCCCCCCCCCCAACCAATCATTGATATATTTTCTGTTTGTCGTGGGAGTTCTGTGTGCCATATTTGGTTCAATTCCATCATTGGTGGAGTTCAGAATGCTCTTTGATTGTAGGTGAACTATACATCCCAGTAACTACACTTGCCGCACTTGCTCCCTTGCCTGGCCCGCTTTGGGTCCGGAGGCGTGCCTGAAGACCCCGGCGTGTGCACCAAAAGTCACCTCTTCTCCTGACTTTCTCCTCAGCCATTGGGACCAAGAGAGAGAGAGAGAGAGAGAGAGGTGGAGATGCCCACCTTTCCTGAAGGTAGGCGCAAAAACAAAGGAGGGAGCGGAGGTGGGAGATACCTCCAGCCGGAGGGGCTCTCTCTCTCTCTCTTGGTCCCAATGGCTGAAGAGAAAGTCAGGAGAAGAGGCGACTTTTGGTGTGCACGCTGGGGTCTTCAGACACTCCTCCAGATGCGGCAGCTCCGCCCCTTGGCCCACCCACGGATTGGGGAGAGGAGAGGAGGCGGGTGGAGCGCCGGGGGATCTGGAAAGGGAGCCGGTCATGGGGAAGGGATCGAACGCAGAGAACGATTGAGCGCCGGCTCTGCTCGCGCACCCGGTGGCCGGGTGGAGCAGGAACGAGAGGGGCAGGCGAGGCTCAAGGGCCCGGCCCCTTTGGGAAGAGGATGGCCCGGCAGCGAGGCAAGAAAGCCGAGGCTTCCCCCGGACTGCTAGGGCTGTTGTGAGCTGAGGGGGCGCTCCTCAAGTGGTGGTCAAGGGGCATTTACAGAGGCGCCTCTGCGCCCCTGGCAAAAAAAAGTGTTCTGCGACCGCTTACTTCGCGTAACGGATGAGCCGCCCCTGACCTTTACACAGTATCAGAATCCAGCAATTCTTTTAGTCCATACATCACCTAAGTTGGTCCCTGGGAAGACCTGTTGAAGGTCATTCAGCTGCTCTTCTTTTTCCAGTTTCCCGGTCATCTCATCAAAGCCTGGTTAGAAGGCTCCTCAGCTCCTTCTCGCTTTCAGCCATCAAAGTGGTATCATCTGCATATCGAAGGTTAACACTTTCCCCAACCCAGGCCTTCTCTGTGAAATACTATACTTTACCTGAGTTAGTCCTTGGGAAAGTCTCTTGTTGATGGAGGACACATGATTTTATATCTTCTTCTTCTTCTTCTTCTTCTTCTTCCAGCTTGATAACAATATTCAGGAACCCTGAACAGAGAAAAGAAGGAAGAAAATGGAGCTGAGAGTCATCTTTCCAACCCAGAAAAGAGGAAAAATTATAAATATAAATTTAAAATGACCTTGAAAAAATAGATTGACCTATCTATGGGTTAGTGTAAGTACTGTACATTGACTCTAACAAAAAGAGGAATGATATCCTTCTCTGAAAAGAATGACGAAAGGTGAATCAAAAAGAAACATTGACCCCTTCTACCCTTCTGTGTTGCCACTTCTGGCCCATTTTGAATGCCTGGGCAGGAACTGACAGTGAAAGTTCATAAAAAGCTGGTCATCTGCAGTGGCATTAGTGTTTTCCCCTCTCCATAGAACAACTATCAACTTTACCCACGGGTCATTATACAAATCCATAATTTCAACCCCAAAACCTGCCCTCAATTTATACATGGGGTTGATTTATACATGAATATACATCAGGAATGGGCAAACTTCTGCCCTCCAGGTGTTTTGGACTTCAACTCCCACAAAGATTGCCCATGCCTGGTATATGTGATAATTCTGCACGAAATCTCTAGAGCACGGTGTGAGTAATGTAGCTCTACATACACTGCAGGATAAGTGCTAGGAAACTGTGTTGCTTTTACAACAAATATTCTGGTTTGGGAGAACTGTCTAGTTACTGTACACCAAATGACTAGGAGCGGGACATATATGGGGCAAAAATAAGCAGAAGGAAAGGCCCTTAGAAAGCCACTTTCTCACCTGAGCTGGCTCCTGGTATGATATGAGATTCTTCCTGATGTAGACCGCATGGCTTTTCTTCTTCTTCCTGCTTGACTGCCATGTCCAAAAGGGCTAATCGGGAGAATGGGATAAGAAAATGGGGCTCAGAAAGACAAGTCTCTCAAGAACTGTATATTTCCATATAGGCGTCAATGTGGCACAGGTCTGCCATGAACACTGGGTGAGCCACACACTCTTCACTTCCGAAAACCTGGGATAGGGTTGCCATAATTGGAAACAACTTGAGCACACACAGCTGGAAACGACAGTCTTCCCATATGAGCCTGGGAGTATAAAACCGGGCTTAGAAAGGCCATATCTTCCCAAAATAAGCCTAAATATTTAAAATATATTGTTGAAGGCTTCCATGGCTCGAATCACTGGGTTGTTGTAGGATGCTTGACACAGATGCAGGCGAAACATCAGGAGAGAATGCTTCTAGAACATGGCCATACAACCTGAAAAACCTAAAATAACCCAATATTTAAAATGTTTTTTCTGGGGATCTCAAGTATTATTGTGCAATTCTGTGATCCAGTGGAAAGAATCCACAAAATTATGCCAAGAATACCAAGGGATTCTCTCAAGAAAAGGGGGGATTATTTCTTTGTATAGACCCAGTAAGAAAATCCAACAAATGCTACAGGCAGCTGTGGACAAGTCTACACCAAACGCAGCAGCATTGCCCCGACACAAACCAAGGAAGGTTGAGAAACACTATCCTAGAGTATCCTAGGGCTGTTGAAATTGAGTCTACAACAACTCCTGGAAAAATCATAAAAGATATTTGCCATACCTGTGCCAGAAGTGTGATCACGCAAATTGCACACATACCATTTCTCACACACATTAACATCCAGGTCTTACCAAAATCTATTCAATTCAACTGCTCAATTGTCCACAAAACAGTAATGCTCCCAAAAAGGACTGCTGCCTTTATCTGAGAGAATGAATATATATTAAAATCTGTTGACACAATTAAATATCCATGAATTCATCAACAGAAACTCGTACTAAATACGTTTCACATCATACCTTTTCTCCCCCTAAAGATACATTACTTTACATTGGTGGATGTCAAGGTAGTGATCAAAAAATGTATTACAGCAAGCAGGCAAGTAGAGAGAGAAAATGATCCAGTCACTCTGGGCTGTGGTGCAGTGAGCTGATAGTCAGCTGCATTAAATCACTACTGACCAAGAGGTCATGAGTTCAAAGCCAGCCCAGGTTGGAGTGAGCTTCCGGCCATTAGTCTAGCTTGTTGTCGACCTTTGCAGCCAGAAAGACAGTTGCCTCTGTCAAGTAGGAAATTTAGGTACCGCTTTATGCGGGAAGGATAATTTAACTAATTTACTATGCCATAAAACATTTCAGCAGTGTGCAGAAGAATGAGGAAGTACTCCATCAAAGGACTCAGTGTCACAAATGGACGGTGAAGCAGCAGCTCCCCCTGTAGCTGGAATCGAGCCACAATCGCGCATACCCTCATGTAGCCAGAAAGCTGGAATGTTAAAATTGCCTCTGCTGTTTATATATGTTGTATGTCTAATTGGCATTGAATGTTTGCCATGTATATGTGCATTGCAATCCATCCTGAGTCCCCCGCAGAGTGAGAAGGGCAGAATACTATAAATAAATAAATAAATAAATAATATGCAGAAAAATGGGCAACTACAAAACCCAACATTCAGATATGAGTGTGTGTGTGTGTATTTGCAGAATCATGTAAACGTGGGGTACACCTACACTGCAGAATGGATGCAGTTTGGCGCCTTTTATCTGCCTGGGAGTTGTAGTTTAGGGAGGAACCAGCACTCTTTTGCAGAGACACCTTATAAAACTACATGATTCCATAGTATTGGGAATTGAAGTGGCATCAAACTGTATCAATTCTATAGTGCAGATGCAATCTCAGATCACCCTGCAAAAAAAGGGGGGTCTCCCTTTGCAGCCCCTTTTCTCTCCCCCTCCCTTTCTTACAAATACAAGGATGCAACCAATTTATCCCCTGCCAGAAATGGCTCCTTTGTCCCCTTCTGCCTCTCCTTTTTGCAAATCCTCCTCTTGCTTTTCCATCCCAGCCCCAGCCGTGCCTCCCCATCCTCTACCTCTTCTTGGTTTTCAGGATCTGGATCTCTAACCTGGAATACAGTCTCCTTCCAAGGTCATAATATCCCACCGCCTTTCCTCTTCTCCTTTGATCTTGCTTTTATGAAAATGGAAATGCAATCAGCTCAGCTTCCACTTCTCGTCATGTGAGTGAAGCCTTCCCAGGCTCCTGGCAAAAGAAAGGCAAGACCCAGCTAATCTATAAGGATGTCTCCAAAATACAGATGCAAGTCCACTGTCCCTTTGAGATGCTGCCCAGGAGGGAGGAGGGAGGGAGGGAGAAAGAAAGAGGGATTAGGTTGTCATTTCTGGCATGGGGGAAGGGGACGAACTTTGCAACTTAGCTATATGTCTTCTGGGAACCAAGGTGTACTATATAATACTTTCACAATCATATACAAACAAATTGCTAGGGGATACTTGCATCATTGCATTATGGCAGTCAGACTTTGAGGCTGCAAGGCTATGCAATGCTAATCAAGGTCGAATTATTCCCACTTACCTCTGATAAGTGGGCACCCCATCTACACTGCCATATACTCCAGCTTCTGAATCCCAAAGATCTGGATCCTTGTATCATTGCATTATGGCAGTCAGGCAGCCTGATTTCTTGACAGCACCCTCCATTTTGATTAAGAACTGGGCCAAAAAGGCGAGGATTGAATGAAAAGTAATGCCTCCACCTTCATTACTTGGGTTTGGATGGGAATATTTTAATAAATCAAATCCAGAAATAATCCTTAGAATATGTTCTTTAACTACCACTATTCACTTTTTCACATAATCACCAGACAATTGGATACATTTCCGCCAACGATGAACAAGTTTTCTGAAGCCATCACGGAAGAAGTCAACACTCTGTTTCCGCAACCAATGTCTCACAGTTCTCTCAACGTCTTCATCAGAAGCATAATGATGTCCCCACAGATCTTCTTTCATTATTGGGAACAAATGGAAGTCAGATGGTGCTAAATCTCAACTGTATGGAGGATATCGTATGGTGGAGTGATCCAGTCTCTGAAGTTCTGCTGTCAACCTTTTGCTTGTGAAACTCAGTGGTTGCTGTCACAGGACATCTGTTTGTCACGCAAGTCAGATGTTCCCACCTCAACATCTTTAAACTTGGTTGTGTTAGGGAAGAGAGATGGTTTGAGGAACAAAGACAAAGAGAGATCCAGAGTACTGGAAAGCACGCTTTAT